GGGTGACCCCCCCCCCGCTTTTTTTTTCCCATCGTGTCTTTAAGACAGGTTATATATAATCCATAGATAGGAACATTTGCTGTCAAATACTTGGGCTGATTTAGAGCTAGGCCTCAAAAATGGTCATTTATTAATAAAGATGGAAGGGAGAAGAAGAAGGGATTAAAAAAAAACTTAATCTGAGACTTCGCAGGGATCCTGAGTTCTTGCTACATATCATCACTCGTCCAGTCTGTGGCATTTTTACGAAGTGACCATAAATGAAAGTCAGATTCAATGCACAAGATATATACATTTACTCCACAGCCATCGGAGTCTGTGGCTCTTGGAGAGTTTATAAGAGCCTGGCGAATGCAAATTGACTGGGAAAGAATCCGAGGGGTGGGGGAATGGATGCTCGGTGAGTGGTACTCCCTGACACGGGACACCAAAAACTTTTGCAGAGTGAGTGATTGAAGTGTAAAGCTGCCAGCTGCTTGGTTTCAAAACTTGAAACATTTCCAAAACATTGGATGAGGCACTTTATACGCCCACTAGAGTAAATACGCCGGGTTTTACTGCCAATTTAAATGTGCTCAGTTTACAGCAATGAGCTTGTATAGGCATTACCTTGTTTATAGAAAGTGGAACAGGAAGAAATGAACATTAACCATTACCAGTAGCAAGTCCCCCCCCCACCCCCTCCCGGCCTTTCTTCCACAACATGGATAGGGATGTGTCACCGCTATCATCGACGTGTCCTTCCCTCCACCAGAGCAGCCCACGCCATGACCCAGCGCGTGATCAAGACAGTGCATCGGCTGTCCCTTGGTATCTTTCCTAAAACAGATATCAGTAGCACAGAAAAAGGAAGTGTGAAACAATAGAGTGGGTATGTACCCCCTGATCGTGTGTGTGTGTGTGTGTGTGTGTGTGTGTGTGTGTGTGTGGTAATTGGGGTGTGGGGGGAGGTGTTGATTTAGCCAAGGATGTTTTCTACAAGGGAAACCAACCATAGAAGTCATTTATTTTCTCTTCAAAAGTATCTAAGTATGCGGTGGCCCTTGTGGCTTGGGGTGACCTCCCTAAGCTGAGATCCTATGCTAGATTCGTGTTTAGATCAAAAGACAACATGTAGAGAAGAAAGAAAATTAAATATTCTAGGAAGGGGTTTCCTAGAAAGCACTTTGTCTAGAAGAAAGTAGACACTCAGCAAATATTGTTACGGGAGATGAGAGAAAGAGAAGGGGGGAAGAGGGAAGGGGAGCGGCAATAAGAAGAGAGCATTAAAAGTTGGTGTCTTAAGAGACAGGTCCTCATGAACTTAGCTGTGTTTCTAATTCAAGAACACAGAAGAAAGCAGAGGCCACATAGGGAACACAAGTTAATAGACACGAGCAAGCATGGACAGAAAGACATCGCTGTGAAGTAGAGTCTGTTTTTCTGAGTCATATTGATTGAATGTGTGTGTGTGTGTGTGTGTGTGTGTGTGTGTGCCTCCTGGGGCTTGAACTCAGGGTACTGTAGCATTCTACCACTTGAGCCACAGCTCCATTTGCAGCATTTTGCTCTCACTGACTTTCCTGCCTGAGCTGGCTTGGAACTTCAGTTCTCAGATCTCAGCCTCCTAAATAACTAGGATTACAGGCGTGAGCCACCGGCACCTGGCCCAAAGTCCTTTTCAAAAGTTGTCTGATTGGTGATCTCCAGTGATGAAGTCTGTCTTTATTCTTTTATGCTGGGCTTCTCAGAACGCTTTGACCCAAATACATATGCATATGAATACTAGAATGATGCTACCCACATTGTCTCTACACCATTCCTTCTCCACAGTGTAGGGTACTAGCCCAGTGTAGAAACTTTCTACAACCAAGAGCATGATCCCATGTCTGCAAATAAAGGATTCAGATGCCCCAAGTGTATATATTAGACTATTTGTGTTTTCTGTTGCTTGCTTTAATTCTTCTACAACAATATATTCTTTTTGGTGGGAGAGCTGGTCCTGGGGCTTGAACCCTGGGCCCCGGTGCAGTTCCTGGGCTCCTTTTGCTCAAGGTTATCGCTCTACCACTTGAGCCATAGCATCACTTCTGGCTTTTTCTGCTTATGTGGTACTCAAGAATCGAACCCAGGGCTTCACACATGCTAGGCAAGCACTCTACCACTAAGCCACATTCCAGCCCTGCAAATACTTTTGTTTAATGTCGATTTTCCTTATCTTTTAGAATCTCTTCTTTTTTTCATCCACTTTTTTAAAAAATCACTTTTTAAAAAAAATCTGTGCTCTTTTAAAATATGTGGTTAGTTTATGACATCTCTTAAAAATGATCTTTCTTTTCTAGTGTCTTTCTATTTTCTATAACGCTGCTTTCTGATTTACCTACTCTCATTTTTTTTAGAGATTTCTGTAATTTTCCAGCCTTGATCTCCCGAATGGATTCAACTTACTCTGGCAGACATAGGCCCTGACAGGTCAGGGCCGCTCAATCATCAGAGGAACTTGTACATGGGAGGGAGATAGCCTAACCTCATGTTTCTTTCTTTTCTGTCACACTTCTGCAACCAGGGTATCAGATGAGCTTCAGAAAGGAGTTAATGTCAAGGAAGAGAGGCAGATCAGGCCAGCAGAATGGTTTTATTAGGGATAGAATTTCTTTCTTCTGCCTTCCCCTCTCCCTACCCCAGGTCACACTCCCTCATTATTTCTCGTTTTTCTGAAGTGTTCTTTTAACATATCAGCCACACCACACCAGAGCCCTCCCTGCTCCGAAGCAAACTCCAGCAACTCTTATCTCTACCCTCCATCTAAGCACTAAATCACAATGTCTTACCTCATTTAACTTCCCTGAAAGTAATCTTGTCTTTGAAATATTATCATACGTTCCAGAACGGCAGTGTGTACGTAGGCTGTGGCTTCTCAGTAGTTCCTACAAACCATTTTTTGCTTAGACGGGGCCCTACATAAATATTTCGTGGGTTTCTTTCTGTAAAACCGAATTTCTGCTCAGATACTCCCTTTGCTATTTATGTGCTAGAAACTTGTTCTACAAAGGAGGATGAGGAGGAAGACTTTGTGGGTCCTTTAATCTTATGAGGGGCTTGTAATGAAACCAAGGGCTATAAGTCTTCTTTAGACTTTCCTGTGGGCTATTATTTTTAATCTTTCTGTTTTAAAATGTTAGTAGTTGTGGCCAAATGTTTCTGCACAGGATTCTCATTTTCAGCAATAAACAACCTACTTTCAAGGCCCTTCTGTCATAATACACTAGATCTTGGAGATATACATGCATGGGTATATATATGCATATATATATATATATATATACACATCTATCTATCCATAGATGTATATATACATATATATATATATATATACACACATATAAGGATACAGATGTATACATATATATGTATATTTACATATACACATGTATGTATGCAAATATTTGTTTATAAAAATGCTTTTTAAGTTGCATTTTTCTGTGACTCTTGATTAACTGTTGATCTTATATCTTGCAACTTTCCCATATTTATATGTCTGGTAATTTTTTTAATAGATTTCTACATGGTTATTGTATCATCTGAAAAGTAAGAGGATATCCTTTATTTCCAAGCTTTGCTTGCTTTCTCTCTCTTTCTTTCTCTCCTTCCTTCCTTCTTATTATGTTACAATATCAAATATCACAATATTAAGTAGAAGCAGTGAATACATATCTTCATATATTTATATATTACTTCTACTATATTGATTAATTAAAAGAGCAGTGATCTCAAAATGAATAGGAAGCTGAATGAAAATACAAATACTGGGTTTTCTCTAGAGGATAGTGCCAATATTAGTTCCAGGAATTGTAAAACTAAATCTCCAGCAGCATATTTATTATTCTCAGGCTTACATAGAATATTCTTCAAGATACAGGCCTCATTCTGGGCTGTAAAACACATGCTAACAAATGTGAACTAGTAGAAATCATATAAAAATAGGTTTTCTGGTTCAGTAGAATTAAACTAGAACTGAAAAGCTATCTGGAAACCTTCCACAATACTTGGATATTAAACCACATACTTATAAGTAATACATCTGCCTATGAACAAGTCTTAAACTAAAAGTATTTAGAATTAAATGAAAATAAGGCTTATTCAAAATCTGTGAGATGCAGCTAAAGCAGTATTTTTAATGTCATGGCATTAAGTGCATATATTAGAAGAGAGGAAATAGCCTAAACTTCTGTTTTAGGAAACTAGAAAATGAATAATGCAAACCTAGAGTATTGCAAATATGCAAGCAGAAATGAGTTAAATTGAGAATAGTTAAGACTAGAGAATTACAAACTGAAAGGACAATGAGTTTCTACTACAGACCAGTCAGAATGGTTAACATCCAAAAAGCCGCAGACTATGGAGCAAAAGAAGCACTTCTTTTTTTGGGGGGTCGGGTTGGGGGTGGGGGTCTGGTCGTGGGGTCTGAACTCTGGGCCTGGGCGCTGTCCCTCAGCTCTTCAGCTCAAGGCTAGCGCTCTACCACTTGAGCCACAGCGCCACTTCTGGCTTTTTTCTTTTTGCTTATGTGGTGCTGAGGAATCGAACCCAGGGCCTCATGCATGCAAGGCAAGCGCTCTACCACTGAGCCACCTTCCCAGCCCCAGAAGCACTTCTTAATTGCTGATGGGAATGTAAAATGATCTTTTCTTAGTGCGTTGTATCAGGAGCACATGGTGCCCATTTGTCCCAGTGCTGATCAGACACTGTCTCTCTTGATGGTTGACATGTTCAACTAAAGCTAAACACTCTTAAGTCTTTGGACAACATCAAAACCCAAAACAACCTGGAGGGAATTCCCGGATTGAGAGGGAGTGGGGTGAGACAGGACTCTGTTTAGGGTGTCTTATAATGCTTCGAAGTTTACACTTGCCTGACACCCCCAAGTGTACAGCTCTAGTATTATTACCAAGCGACTGCCACACTGCTTGACTTCTGATCGACTGCATCACAGATCCCATTGTACTGTCTCCTTTCCTAGATCTTTATTAACAATGAATGGCAGAACTCAGACAGCGGGCGAGTGTTCTCTGTCTACAACCCAGCCACAGGAGAGCAGCTGTGTGAAGTCCAAGAGGCCGACAAGGTATGTGTTTCCAGATTCTCTACGAAGTAACCCCTGTCAAGGCAGGGGAGCAGTAGACATGCACTCGATCAGACACCATCACTTACGTTGGGAGCCCAAGAGCCGATGGTTCCTCTCCCTTTCATTGTGCCTCTTCCCTAACAGGCGGATATAGACAAAGCAGTGCAGGCAGCCCGCCTGGCTTTCTCCCTTGGCTCGGTGTGGAGAAGGATGGATGCTTCAGAGAGAGGACGTCTGTTGGACAAGCTTGCAGACTTAGTGGAACGGGACAGGGCAGTTCTTGCAGTAAGTAGCCTAAGGATGAGTCTTTACTCCAGAATCACGGTTCTTCTGTCTTTAGGAACATGGGCCGGGAGGCAGACCTGCGGGGAAGATAGGATGTGCAGAATACACCTAGGAAATGGGAGCTGTGTATACTTGGGGATAAAGTGGGGAAGTAGAGAATCAGCTGAGTGTCTCTCCTCTTTGCATTTTGAAGAACGACTGTAACACTGCGAGATTGGTAAGTCCTTTCCTTTCTCCTGCCTATAAAACCTATCAAGCACCAGGCAGCTTGCATAAACCTATCCCCACTACCCCCTGCAAACTCTGGTTACCCTTCAGAAGCAGAGGGCTGCAGGCCTTTGCACTTAGACTTTGTTTGTCCTATCATTTTTTAGATACACAAGGAAAGAGAGACACTAACTTTCTTTTCACTAGAGCAATTAGAGCAATCTTTCTCCCAGGATCTTACCCCACCCTAGAGCATTTTTGTTGTTGTTGTTGTTACTGTTGGCTATAAGGCCTGAACCCAGGGCCTGAATGCTGTCCCTGAGGTCTTTTGCTCAAGGCTAGCACTCCACCACTTTGAGCACACAGTTCTGCTTGTGGGTTTTTTTTTTTTTTTTTGGCGTGGCTAATTGGAGATAAGACTCTCATGAGGATTTTTCTGTCCAGGCTGGCATTGAACCACGATCCTCCGTTCTCAGCCTCTTGAGCAGCTAGCATTAAAAGTGTGGGCCGCTGGTGCCCAGCTCTAGATGGCTTTGTTATTGCTGCTCTTTAAGTATATGGCAGTTTTTTAGAGAATTCAGAGTTCTGGGGAGATGAAAACTGTCTATCTCTTGGTTGACTTGTACTTCATTCTATGTCGTGTACAGCTTGGCTCTATGCTAGCTGCACAGAGAATGTAATGCCCACCTTTTGTTTTCATTCTTTGTTTTGGTCTGGTCCTGGGGCTTGAACTCAGTGCCTGAGTACTGTCCATGAATTTCTTTTGCTCAAGGCCAGCACTCTACCACAGCTCCATTTGCAGCTTTTGGGCAGTTTTTTTTTTTTTTTTGGAGATAAGAGTCCCACTGACTTTCCTCCCCAAGCTGGCTTTAAACCTCAATCCTCAGATCTCAGCCTTCTGACTATCTAAGATGACAGACCCACACCTGTAATGCAGCTTGTAATGCCATCTTAAAAACGTATTAAGTTCCTAAAAGTACCAGTGAACAGTAGACATGAGACATTCTATGATGAGTTTCATCTTGTCCATTTAATAAATAAACTGCACTGTAAATAATGAGTGGAAAACAATTCAATGGTAGCTTTGTCAGTAATCCCATCATTTTTACACCAGGCTGTGTTATAAAATGTCCTTAGAGGGGAAACCATGAAAGTTATTAAAAATATACTTACATTTGTTAAGTCTGTAATACCTTTAATCTATCTCAAGTCTAGAGAGCTCCTTGTTTCTCATTGTTTTCCTTACAGGCTTAATCTGTGTAGGAACATGTCATCAAAAAAAAATCATAATGGTTAGAATGTAAAACGGCTTAATATTGCTATTTTTTAAATTAAATGGACCAGATTCTTTGCTGTTAATACATAATGGTTGTTAATCTAAATGTTTACTTGAAACCAGCCTTTAAGTTGTTAAAAGTGTGGGCTTCCCTAAGGGCGATCTTGTTTATTTGATGGTAATAGATAAACTTGCTGTGCACTGTGAGTATTCTTTCTCTCGGTGGGGGTCCTGGCAGCTGTGGAGAACATTTTATTTTCTCCTCAATTGCATAAAAAAAAATCTATGTCCCCATTCCTCTTTATGGATTCAGGTTACTAGTGTAGACTCCAAAAAACAAATCCCTCTTCAGCTCTGGTTATTAATATACCAGAAGGTAGTTTGACAAGCCGAACATTTCCTTCTTGTCAGTTAAAGGAGTGCCGCGCTTATGTATTTGGACAGTAGTCATTGAAAATACACAGACACGAGCATGTATGTGCTCATTGTGGGTTTTACTAGAAACTCAAACCACACTTGCATACTAGACATTTCTATTTGGAAAATCGGAGTTAAACGAGTATGCATCACCATTCATAGCCATTTGCATGTTCTTCCCTTCCCTCTTTCCCCGCCTTCCCCGTGCATGCACCAGTTCTGAGGCTTGCCCTTTGGGCTTGGGTGCTGTGCCTGAGCTTTTTTGCTTGATGCTAGCATTCTACCACTTGAACTTCTAGCTTTTTGGTGGTTAATTGGAGATTAGAGTTTCACAGATTTTCCTGCCTGGGCTGGCTGGCGTTGAACCTTAATCCTCAGATCTCAGTCTCCTGAGTAGTTAGGATTACAGGTCTTTTCCCTCTTTTCCTTTGCTTCAGAAACTATTTAGTCTATACTTGGAAAAATGCATGTGATTAAATTCCTCTTCCTTTCTTTTCTTACAGACTATGGAATCCTTAAATGGTGGCAAACCTTTCCTGCAAGCTTTTTATGTGGATTTGCAGGGCGTCATCAAAACTCTGCGGTATTATGCAGGCTGGGCTGATAAGATTCATGGAATGACCATTCCTGTAGGTAGGTGAAACACAACTGTGCCAGAAAGGGAATGGGGGGTTCATCCAGAAACTCAGTCTCATCACCCCAAATGGGCAGCAGCTACTCAGCATAGCTCTCAGACGAGTCTAGCAACTTGAGCTGCGCCTAGAACCAAAGCATCGCTGACTCTGACACGGTCCCTCCTTCTGTGTGTAGACATTCTACAAGTACATGTAGGGACAAGCAACTCGAATCCCTCTATGAATACGCCTATGTCTATTAACCAACCACTAAGTACTTGGCTAGGGGCCGGGAGTTTGAAAGTATGGTGGGCATTGGGATGTCGGAAAATTCCGAGACTTGGCCTTCGCCCTCTTGAACCATAACATCCACTCCTCGGAAGGAAATATTCTACAATGTACTGCTGGGTCTGAGAGCATAGTTGGAGCCTGGGTCAACCAGGCTACAAGTTTTATTTCACCATCAATGCTGAGACACTGAATTACTTCCAACAGATGAATGCTTTGATCAAAATCACACTTAGAAAAAGTACTTTGACTGCAGAGGGGGTAATCTATGTAAAAAACTGTCTATTCTTTGTTCCCCTGAAGGAGCTTCTAACCAAAAGTCTTTGAAAGAGGAGAAAGGATGCTCGCTTTGAACTCAAGGTTTGAACTCAGGGATTCATACGTGTTCAGCTTACCTGCATGCTTATCTGGTGCTCTACTTCTTGAACTATGCCCCCACATTTCCCTTTTGCTGGTTATTTGAGAGATGGAGTCTCAAAGACTTTTCTGCCCAGGTTGGCTTTGAACCATATTCCTCAGGATCTCTGTCTTAGAGTAGCTAGGATTACAGGTGTGAGCCACTGACACCTGGCTAGGATACTCACTTCTGAGCCATTTACCAGTGGCCTCCTCCTCTGAATTGGGAGTTTCTCCCACTTCTATCCATTCCATCCCACCATGGGATGGGATTGCAGAATTAGGCAACGTGAACTTGATTCACAATGGTCTTGATGTTATTTCCTTTACTACACTCTCCATTATTTCCTGCCATTACCCAATGGAGCCATTCTCTCTGACCATAAATCCTGAGCTTTGACCCTTTACTACGGCAAGTCCCAGTTATGATGATAAATAATAACCATTACTATGATTTGTGGAAGGCTTTCTTAGTGCTCATTTGTATCTCACAGCAGTCCCCAGGAGAAGTATTTTCTCATTTTGATTATTCTTATTATTTTACCTAGATCAGAATCCTCTGCTCCTCTCCTATCTACAACCCCCTAATGATGGAGGACAAGTCCAAGCTTGTGTTCAGTTTTTGTGACGGAGAAATGGAAGCTAATGGGCTTATGTCACCTTAGATTTTTCTCTGTATTGAGTGCTAATCTTATTGATTTTTTTTTTAGGGTATGTGAACAAATTTAGCCTATGCTTTATATTGAACATCAAAATGACCTTAGGATGTATCATTCAACAAAAGGAGGTTAAAAATGACTCAGGTCACATTTCTTTTTTTTTTTTCATTTTAAACAAGAAGTTTATTTAAACAACCAGACACTTGACTTGAAGGGAAAACTATCTAGGATTCTTTTTTTTTAAAGAGTAATTTACCCCTACTTAAAGACAGATTGCCCTACATATACAGCTACGTACAAAAAAGTTATAAAATTGTCCTTGGTTTTACAATGATAAATGAAAACATTAAAATTCTCCAATCAAACAAGGTATGCAAGGATTTTTGTTGTTTTTTTCTTTTTTTTTGTTAAAATAGTGAGAGCAAAATAACTTACTGAAATATAAAGATAAAAGCTGAATGAACATGCCATGAATGGAGAAGGGGGATATTTTCACAGGACCAGTATTTTTCCCCATCCCATCTCCATTTGATGTCAATCAAAATATACCATTGACCATTTAGTTTAAAAGAAAAAAAAAGAAAAAGAAAAAAGAAAAGCAATATGCTTGTGCACATACACCAGTTACTTTATGTACAATAAAGGAATGGGGAAGGGGAAAATGAAAGAATAGAGAAAACTATACTGTAGTAGTCAGGATGTGGTGGAACCAAATTGCAGTTTTCTAATTAAGAATGTATTCTTGGTCTATAAGAACAAAGTTCTGGAGCAAAGTAGCAGGTTCCCTTTTTTAGTAGAAACCTCCTGTCTGCTGCTGGAACACATCAATTGTATCTTCATCCTCCATTTCCAACTGTGCAGGTGTGTCTCATTGATTGGCTGCCCATCAAATCGGAATCTGATCTGCCTCATTGACAAACCCTGTCGTTCACAATAGGCTTTCATTAGTTTACTAAGTGGTGTATGCCTCTTAATCTTAAACTGCACCACAGAACCATCCTGCCCCGCCACCTTCAAATTAATATGATCGTTGTTCTCAGTCTTGACTCCTTCCTTGGGCTTTTCGTCGGCCATCGCGAGCGCCGGAGTCTCCTTAGATGCCGCTTCACAAAAGAGGTCCCCGGTCCGCACCGAACGAGCACACAGGCAGCACCACCTCAAATTTCATTATTTATCTTGGAGGTTTTTTTTTTTTTCCAGTTTTACCTATTAATGCTGAAGAATAGGCTAAAACATGGACACTTTACTGACTTGGGTCTTCAGGCCTTACCTTCGATCTGCTTGCCCTGGTTCAGTGCTCTCCCCAGTGAAAGGGTAGTAGAAAGCATGCAGTCCGAACAGGAGTGAGGGACTGTGTTCTGTGTCCACCCTGCCTTTCACCAAGGAGTGTCAGTGGGGTCTGAACTGTCAGTGGCAATGAAGTCAGGCCCAGCAAGAGGCTTCAGCAAGAGGCTGAAGCTTCAAGGACCCCCAGGAACCCCGAAGGATCCAGGGAAATAAGATGACTTTCTTCAAGACCATGTAATGGAATAGTGGTAAAACTGAGATATAGCTTCAAAGGCAGATGTGGTTAGCCAGACCCGATCTCAACACATACCCACCCATGCACACAACATCAGCTCTGATGGCACAGGCCTGTAATTACAGCTGGGCAAGAGGCGAAAGTGTGGGGTTCGCAGTCCAAGGCTAGCCTAGGGACAAGTGTAAGACATTATCTGAAAAAATAAACTCAAAATGAAAAAAGGGTTGGAAATGTGGCTCCAATGGTAGGGTTGGTTCTTGTTTAGCAAGCATGTAGCCCTGAGTTTCAGTCCCAGGGTGGTCAAGGAAATGTTCTGATTGTGATATATATTCATTTATTTTTCTGCTGATATATATTCATTTTTTTCTGATATGTATTCATTTATTTTTCTTGAACTCTGGGCCCAGGCACAGTCCCTAAACTCCTTTTGCTCAAGGCTAGTGCTCCTCCCTGTGAGCCATAACACCTCTTCCAACTTTTTTCTGTGATTAACTGGACCTAAGAGTGTCACAGACTTTCCTACACAAGCTGGCTTCGAACCATGATCCTCAGATCTCAGTCTCCTGAGTAGTTAGGATTATAGGCGTGAGCCTCTGGGCTCATTTTGAGTATAAAATGAAATAAGGGTGTGAAAGTCATTTTGTAAGTTTCTATAGAAACATATTGTGGTATTCTTTTATAGGTTTTTTTTTTTTTTTTTGTCGGTCGTGGGGCTTAAACTCTAGGCCTGGGCGCTGTCCCTCAGCTCTTCAACTCAAGGCGAGCGCTCTACCACTTGAGCTACAGCACCACTTCCGATATTGTGGTATTCTTAATTTATCGTTAAAAAGTATTAAGGGCAATGTTCAAACTGGGCTAGATGTCACACACCTATCATCCTAGCCACTCAAGAAGTAGAGGTAGAAAGACCTCAAGTTTGAGGACAGTCAGGGAAAAGTTAGTGATAAACAAAAGAACTGGGGGTGTGTCTCAGGTGGTAGAGTCTTCGATGTCTTCCCAGGCCTGTGGAGTCTGAGTCTGCATTCAGAACACAGTAAGATGCTTCAGGTGCTCATGTAAGTTTGAGAAGCACCAGACAGCTCCCCTGTAACAGTGGTAACATGCCAGGTGGTACAAAACAGTAAACTAGTAAGCATCCACTTTTGGGATTTGAAGAATGTGAAAAGAAAACATAACTTAGCTCTTGTTATTTTCTAGATTTTCTTGTTATTTTCTAGATTTTTTTAAATGAACCTAACAAGTAGCTATGTTCATATTTGTTAAAGAAGAGTTGATTTAACAGAAGGTACTGTGCATGTGTAGTGTATGTGCTATTTGCATATGGCAAAAGTTTTCAATGTGACCCTTGAGGGGCAGATCTGGTCCCTATTGTGCACTCCTTCAGATCAATATTTATCAAATCAGAAAACAGAGTATCCTAGGAAGAAGTCTTTTTTTTGGGGGGGGGGTCTGGTCATGGGGCTTGAACTCTGGGCCTGGGCGCTGTCCCTCAGCTCTTCAGCTCAAGCTAGCACTCTACCACTTGAGCCACAGTGCCACTTCCACCTTTTTGCTTATGTGGTGCTGAGGAATCGAACCCAGGGCCTCATTCATGCAAGGCAAGCGCTCTACCTCTGAGCCACCTTCCCAGCCCTAGGAAGAAGTCTTATTTCCCATAGTTCAGTTTCTGTTGGGACATTATTTTGAAGTCAAGTTCAATTCCTTATCGTGGTCAGCTTTTTAAAGATTTTTGTCTATGTTTTCTGTGAAATGTGCATATACTTTGTTCAAGAAATTCCTCAGTTATGTATAAAATGATCGTCTTTGTAGCATTATTTATAATAGACAACACTGAAAGTTATTTTGATGATCTTCAGGAGTGGGACAAAATTACTGTTACTTGTTCAGGCCATGCAATAACATGCAGCCATTATGATGGACTAGCTATATACAGAAAGGAGAGAAGAATGAAATATAAGACTAGATACCACAGTTCCATTTGTATTCAGAAAAAAAGAAAAGAGAAGGGCATTAAAAGATTTGTCCATGAATAAAAGTTCCTTGAAAGTATGTACCAGAAACAGACAATGGCTAATACTGGGAAGAGAAATCAGAGGTCTGAGGCCAAAGAGAGAAATAGAAAGAGGGAGAGAAGCACCTTAATTTAAGTTGTATATTTATTTGTCAGTCGTGGGGCTTGAACTCTGGGCCTGGGTGCTGTTCCTCAGCTCTTCAGCTCAAGGCAAATGCTCTACTGCTTGAACCACAGTACCACTTCCAGCTTTCTGGTGGTTAATTGGAGATAAGAGTCTTACAGAGGTACCTGCCCTGGCTGGCTTTGAACCATGATCCTCAGATCTCAGCCTCCTGAGTAGCTAGGATTACAGGCGTGAGCTTACAGTGCCTGGCATGTTGTTTAATTTTTAAATGTATAATTTTGAATTCATTTGAAATAGCATTGGGTGGTCAATGTTAGCTATTAAGGTGTGTTGACAGACAGTGATGGACCTCATTTGTCTTTCCCAAATCCATCCTCAGTCCTTAACCATTGTACTTCTCTAAGCATTAGCTGAGTATCTTTTTGTTCCCTGAGGACTCTATGTTTGTGTGGGGGGGTTGTGGGGGAGGTGGTGAAGGAGAGGAAAGGAGAGAAAAAGAGAGAGGGGGGAAAGAGAGAGAGGAGAAAGAGAGGAGAGAGAGAGAGAGACAGACAGACAGACAGACAGACACTCTCTAGTGGCCAAAGGGCCAGCAATAGAGGGATTTTTTTTTTTTTTTTTTTTTGCCAATTCCAGAAACAAAAGCCATGGCCTAAAAGCAATCCATTCTTTAGTCCATTCAGTTACCTTTGTGAACTTGTTCAGATACAGGCCATGCTGTTTTTCTAAAGAAGAAGAATTGTGGTTTGGACTTTCTGGCTGATTATTCCAATTGCCTATGATGCCTATAAGAAAAACACGGTTATAAAATTCCCATCCAGGGCTTCTCCTCCTAGCCCCCTGGGATCCAAGCATGGGTCCTCATTTCTGTATGCAGTGTAGGGTGGTGGCTTTGGGTTATTGATGGACTTCTCCTTTGAAGTGGACTTCTGCCTTCTTTAAATAGCCCTGGGCCTGCCTATGTTCCAGTATGCACGGAGTGCATTTTGACAGCTGGATTGAGTTATGGCATGTATCTTACTTTTTACTCCACATCTTTTTTTTTTTTCCCTCCAGTTGCCCAGCATTTTAAATTTGCTCAGTAATATTTTCTTTGCCATTAAAAAAAAAGATTTAGAAAGTTATTTAAAGGTTTCAGCCTCTCCCATTTTTAAATCAAAAACTGTCCTACAGCTTATTTTAATATTAATATAAAATTGAATCTGTGTGTGTGTGTGTGTGTGTGTGTGTGTGTGTGTGTGTGTGTGTGTGTGTGTGTGTGCTGATCCCAGGGCTTGAACTCAGGGCTTGGGTACTATCCCTGAGCTTTTTTGCTCAAATCTAGCACTCTACTGCTTGAACCACAACTCTACTTTTGGCTTTTTGGTGGTTAATTGGAGATAAAAGTCTCATGGACTTTCCTGTCCAGGCTGGCTTTGAACTGTGATCCTCAGATCTCAGCTTCCTCTGAGCCATTTGCACCTGGCTGAATTTTGAGTATTTCTAGTGCCCATTTGTTCTTGACTCCAAAGGCTTCTTGTAGGGCCCATTAGCCAATGTGTCCTTCATTTGCCTCAGAGGTCATCCTGTCATGACTCTGGCTCTGTGCAAGACATACCCCAAGGTTGCTTAGGCCCAAACAGAGCTCTTTTGTGTGTGGCTCAGTAGGATGGTTCTTTTCAACTTCACTGCTAATTTTTACAGCTACCAAAGTTCTCCCTCTTCCTCCTCTTCCTCGGTTCTTACCCTTTCACACTTATTTCTTTCAGATGGAGATTACTTCACCTTTACAAGACACGAGCCCATCGGAGTGTGTGGACAGATCATCCCAGTGAGTGTATCTCTCACACCTCCTATTTATTTTCATTTGACTCAGTTCCCTTAACGACACATAAAACATGGTCCTTGGTGAATGTGTGTTTTCCATTACTGGGAAGAAAAAGACCTGAACTCATGTTGTTGACATATCTTGAACAGCCTCCCTGCGAATGCTTATTTGAACAGGTTCTTAGGCTTTCAGCTCCGTTACCAGGATTTGAGTTCTCGAGTCGTAGAATTCTCATGATTAAAATAAGCCAAGCCCCGTGTATTAATAACCTACCCTTGGTTGTGGGTGTCCCTTCTGCTCATGGAAAATTAGTGCTTTGCTCTATTTGCTTGTTTAGCTTTAAGGTCTGTGACTCACCTTTTTTTTTTTCCCCCAGGCAAGCATGTATGTGTGTGTGTGTGTGTGTGTGTGTGTGTGTGTGTGTGTGTGTTTGTGTGTTTAATATGGTTTTTCAACCCTATCCTTTCCCACTGTTTCTCCTCACAAGATTCTAGAAGATAGACGCTAGAGAAGACGCAGCCATACCATTAATGTCACAGTTGTAATTGAAACCATGCCGGGCTGTAAAGGGAAATAGATGTAGCGCTTAGTGTTTGGATTGGAACATTAAACATTGTCCTTTGCGCTGCGCTCTTTCTCTCTCTTTCTCATACACATCCTTGGCATGATATAAAACATCACTGTATCTTCTAACAGGCCTAGCTAATAGTACTGGCCAGGGCTTCCAAGAGGGAGGCTCAAAGCTTTGGCTTTGGGGAGGGATAACAAAGGTTTTGTGGAGTTATTAATATTTACTCAAATGATCAATATATCAGTTTATTAGGGAATGAATTGGGGGGAACTAAGAGGGTTGGTTGACATTCTTGTGCTTTGTGCTTTTATTACACCCACACACATACACACACACATACACACACTCACACACACACACACACACACACACACACACAGGGAAGTCCCCTTTAGATCTGCTCAGGGGTGGGTCTGTCACCTTTCTTGCAAGGCCCAAACCTGCCTCTCTTGCTCTTCCCCAGACCCACAGAGCTGCAGCTTCCTGACAGGGGAAAAGCCTGTCAGCTAGCTCGGCTCACTTACTGCACGCCAAGATTTATACACTGTAGATGGAATTAAAACATCACCGAGGACTCCCAAGTTTATAAACAACTACGAGGAAAAGAAATTGGGTGTTTGGTGAAGGCAAGACACTTGTATATTTTTGCAGCCTTGCCAGAACCAGTAAGAATCCTTCAAGGCTGGCAGCTGAGATGATTCAGGCAGAAACACGTTGTGGTCAAGGGCTGGAGCCAGGGGACCAGAAATATTCTTTTCCTCTTTAATGAAATGCTCAATGACACCTGATAATAAGGAGTCTCATCCCCGAGCTTCTAACAATACAAGAGTAATAACTTGCTAAGATTCAGCTTTAATCATTTTAGGCCCCAAATTGATAGGCTCTCAGAAGTATGGTTTGGTTTTCTTGAGCTTCTTTGGAAGTGAGAGGGACGCAGATATTTTTTTCCCCATACTTGCCAGTAGATGCATTTCATTGTAATCATGTGTTTCATGGCAATACACCTATGAAGACATGCTGCTCTGAAAGGCACATTGACTCCAATAGAATTCACAGCTAGAATTTTCTTTCTAGTTTTCCCACAGTGAACGGCACATGTCAGTGTGAAAATCCTGGTGTTTAAAAAAAAATTCAAGACAAACTTTTCCCATCTGAGAACTTATTAGAAGGAAATTCTAATGATAGAAAATACGTAAAATAGCAGGCATGAAAAGTTAAACCAAAACAAAGGAAAAGGAAGTGGAGCTTTGGCTCAAGTGGTAGAGCATGAGACTTAAGCATAAAAGCTCAGGGACAGTGGCCAGAGCCTGAGTTCAAGTCCTGGGACCAACACACACACACACACACACACACACACACACAGAGAGAGAACCCCAGAAACTCTCTTATGTCATGAGATTTCTTTTGATGGGTAGTTGAAATAGAGCAATTTTGTGGAAGAGAAAGTAAAGGAGAGATGTTCTTTCAAGGCCAGCATTATTCTATTCTGTTGTTATTCTTCTTCTTCATAGAGCCTGAACTCAGGGCCTGGGTGCTGTCCCTGAGCACTTTTGCTCAAGGTTAGTGCTGTACCACCTTGAGCCACAGGTCCACTTCTAAACTGGAGGTCAGAGTTTCATGGACTTGCCTGCCCTGGCTGGCTTCGAACCTCAATCCTCAGATCTCAGCCTCTTGAGTGGCTAGGATTATAGGTGTGAGCCACTGGTACCCAGCTATTCTATCCTTAATGAAATCATTAAGACACACCCACCCCACCCCCAAACATCTAGACTTTATGGTAGACAAGATTTACGCTGAGGACTGATTTGAGAACTCTTAAGATATCACAGCTTGAAAACACAGTCATGGAGAAATCTTTTTTTTCCATCTATCAACCTTGGTTCTTGTGTTTTCCTTTCAGTGGAACTTCCCCCTGCTGATGTTTGCCTGGAAAATTGCCCCCGCGCTATGCTGTGGTAACACAGTGGTTATTAAACCAGCCGAGCAGACACCGCTCAGTGCGCTCTACATGGGAGCCCTCATCAAGGAGGTAGGAGACACTGACTTCATCCCCGCCCCTTGGAGCCTGTAGAACATAACCTGGCTAACGCAATGCATGCGCTTACACGAGACCTCGTCTCCTCCAATCCTGTTTTCTCAGGCTGGTTTTCCACCTGGAGTCGTCAATATTCTGCCAGGATTTGGGCCAACAGCCGGGGCAGCCATAGCTTCTCACACTGGCATAGACAAGATCGCATTCACAGGCTCTACTGAGGTAGGTCCCTGAGAGACCTGAACCCTCAGGGTAGCGAGCACTCAGATCCTCAGAGGATCACATTGGTAGAACACCAGTGAATGGGAAAGCAGGGGTGCCTGTGGACCCCTCAAGGGAAGACGTCTCTGAGTGTTTTTGTTTTCATTTTCCTGTAGTTCCTGGGCTGTATTCCTGGCTTGGATACTGTCCCTGAGCTTTTGTGCTCTAGGCTAGTGCCCTACCACTTGAGTCTCACCTCCATTTCCAGCTTTTAATGGTTAGTTGGAGATAAAAGTCTCTCAAGTATGTCTGCTCAGACTGGCTTTGAACTACAATCCTCAGATCTCAGCCTCCTGAGTAGCTAGGATTACAGGTGTGAGCCGCTGGCCTCATCTTTCAGCTGGCTTTTTGATTCGAAGCCTCTATAAACATTTGTATAGACTCGAATGTCTCAAATACCCAGGAATGGATGACTACATCCTATGGTAGTTCAACAACTGGTATGTTTTCCAAAGTGGTTCTACCATTTTCCATTCCTACCAGCAAAATGAAAAACTGCCAACTCAACTTCATCTTCAGCATCATTTGGTTTGGGCAGTATTCTTTTTAAGTTCAGTCATTGAAATATGCATACAGGGTTATATCATTTATATAACTGGGTTATTTCCAGTTCTCTGTTACCGAGTATCTTTTCATTAGTGTATCTTGCCACTGTTGTTTTCTTTGGTGGGGTATCTTTTCATTTTTGCCTTGGGAGTGGCATTGTTTGTTTCCATACTGCTGAATTTGGAAAGATCTCTCTGTGTTTTTTGGATGCAAGTCCTTTGTGATTTGCAAATATTTTCTCCAAGACTTGTGGGTCATCTTGTCTTTCTCTCAACAGTGTCTTTGGAAGAGCAGATGGTCTTAATTTGTTGCTATCTAGTTCATCAGTATTTTCTCTTGTGGATCAAGGTTTTTGTGCTGGGTCTGGAAAACCTTTGCCTAATTTAAAAGCCCAAAGATCTCCTAGGTTTCCTTCTAGGAACCTTATGGGGTGTTTTTTTTTTTGTTTTTTGTTTTTTTTTTTTTTTTACATTTAGGCATATGATCTACTTTGAGCTAATTTTGTATATGTTATGCGGCATAGACGAGGCTTTTCTTTCCTTTTTTTTTTTTTTTGTTTTTGATGACTGTCATTTGGTACCATTTCTTGAAAAGACTTGCTGCCACTGAATTGCCATTGTGTCTTTTTGAAGTATGAGTTGTCCATGGCTGTTTGAGTTTATTTCTCGACTCTCTGTTCTGGTTCACTTATCTGGGTATCTGCTGATTCATCCGTACCTCACTCTTTGGATTACTGGATTACTGTAGCCTTCTATTAACACAAGGAACTCTCTAGTTTCATAAGAAGAACATTGACAACGAAACATGTACTTTTTAAAGAAAAAGGATAAAGAGTAAGAGGTGGAGGGAGAAAGGAAGCAAGGAAGGAAGTGAGAGAAAAAATGAAGGAGGAAAAGAAAAGGAGAAGGAAGAGGGAAAGGGAAAGAAAAGGAAGAAGAGGAAGGGAAAGGAGGAAATTTGGGAAGAAGGGTAAAAGGTGGTCTAGTAAAGTGTTTCTCCGTTAGGAATAGTCACAAGAGTGAGACAGCTTTACTGTGGTGTGCATAGATGCAGTTCCAGCTAAAATTTCCAGCGTCCACATTCCCATACTTCTTTCAAGAGGCGAGGAATCGATTCTGCAGCATCTGAGACAGCAATCTTCTGGTTTCTTTCTTTGTATGATGTAAGTGGCAGATGCTAGAGAACCTCTGAGAGAAACATCTGTCTAGCATATGAAAAACAAGTGGTTATTATACATATTTGTAGTGGCAGGTGAAGTAATTTCATAGGCAACCCGAATGATCCCGTAATCCCAAACCCTTTGAATGTATAGTTACTTACCTCTCTATTTTATCCACTCTTTTCTAACTTTTGCCAACTACTTGGGAAATTACATAGATTCTTCTAGATGGAACATTTCCCTTCCATGTGGATTTGAATCTGCTCCTGGTTTGGTTACTCGGGAGAGAGGAAAGCTATTGGTACTTCACAGAATGCCTGGCAGTTAGCAGCAAGAAGTTGCTCCGAGGTAGCTGCTTTCCATTTTACTTTAGCCAAAGGTCTTCAGAAAGCAAACAAAGTCACTAAGATTAAAGATAGGATTAACTTCTCCTGATTGCAGCTACATACACCAACGATACATGTAAATATTTAATAAGTGGCTACGAAAGGGCTCTTAATAAACACAGGATCAATAAACAACCTCCATAAAGTACAGGGACACCGTTTGTATTTAACGCTGGAGGTACAGTGTTTTATTTTTTATTTTTTTATTCAGTTAGATGAACAAACCATGATCTCACCATTAGTCAACAAGATAGTAGGAGAGACCATCAAAGCAAACGACAGGAGGGGCCGGGTTGATTCATGCCAAGAAAATGTTTGCAGCGAGCAGCTGTGTCATCACGGAGCCTAATTGTCCCAGGGGCGCTCTGCTTTCATTGCCCCAGCGAGATGCGTGTCATGGCGCCTGACGCAAGCCTGCTTCTCTTGGAGGGCGGGGGAAGTGGCTTGCTCCAGTGTTAGCCCTTTCCTAAAGTCATGGAACCCATAAATGGGCCAGCTAACAAATCCCAGTTTCATGGGATGGAACTTTATAGATGTACACACTTCAAATTTGAAGCTCTCTTTCCCTTTTTTTTCCCCCTTAAAAACAGAGATACTGAGGAATTTCCTTCCCCGGACTACCTGTGAACCACGATCCTCAGATCTCATCCTCCTGAGTAGCTAGGATTATGGAACAACTGGTGCCTGGTTTGCATTTGGGTTTTGGTTTTTATTCTTTCCCCAGATTCTTGCCTCTTAGGATTCTGGTGAAAATTCAGGTGTTGGTTAGAACAAGTAGCACGCATTAGATGTGCAGTCAGAGATAAAGAATGAAGCCAGCGATGAAGTTGGTTAAATAGAGGAGTATGTGACAAATGCCTCTTTTTTTTGACATCCTGCTTCATAACCCTAGCATCACATTGGAATATTCTTGGGAACTTTTGGAGAAATAACCACTCAGGACTGAGCTAACGAGGATCTCTGGACGTAGAGTCCAAACAACAACAACAAAAAAAAGTGTTTAAGTCTCTTGGAATTCCATTGTACACCCCCAGTGCTCCAATTAAAGCCAAAGACAAAGAAGAGAAAAACTCAGGACTTTCCTGCTTACTGCAACAAAACCATGCCAGGGATGGATATGCTATGTTCTGTCCCCTCTGCTGCCTTCATTTCCAGAGACCTGAAGAGCAGCTGCCTTGCTCTGGCTCACTGACTTGGCAAGCATTATTGAAATCTTCTCTTGTACAAATGCATATACAAAGAAACCAGAAGTCAGGCATTAGTGGCTCATGCCTATATTTTTATCTAGTTAGGAGGCTGAGAATAGGAGGATCATGGCTTGAGGCCCACCAAGGCAGAAAAGTTTGCAAGATTCCTTCTCAACCGATAGCTAGATATGGCAGTCTATGCCTGTCATTCTTGCTGTGTGAGAGTTTGGGATTGGTGGGAGCTTAAGTTACATCTCAATAGAAGAAACTGGGTATGGTAGCATGTACTTAACCATGCCAGCTAAAAAGGTGGATCATGATCCAGGTGTGGTCCCAGGCACAAAGGGAGACCCTATCTCAAAATAACTAATGCAAAACAACCAGGGTTGCAAACATAGCTTAGAGGTAGAGCATTTAGTAGCAAGCATAAAGCCCTGAGTTCAAATTCTATACTGCCTCCCCCCACCCAAATATCCGATGAAGTGTTTTTGTTAGCAAATCAGTCTAGTGATGAAGATTCACAGCCAAAAAGCCAGTACAGGGCATGAGGTACGGGCACAGCTCAACCTAGTTAAAACGAGCCAGAATCTGGAAAGGAGAAAAGCTAGCATCTCAAAGGAGGTGTGGAGAGAAAGGTCTGAAAGATGGAGAAGAAGCTACAGAGACTACTCGAGGAAAGGCACGTGGTTTTGGGTGGTTGGAGCGGTGGGTGTGCCTGGCGGTGGCAGTAGTGTGGAAAAAGGCTGAAAACATACTTAGTGCTTAGATGGATGGTCAACCAGCTACTGGTGGCTGATACCTGGAATCCCAGCTAACTCAGGAAGCTGAGATCTGAAGATCGCGGTTTGAAGTCAGCCCAGGCAGAAAAGTCCATAAGACTCTTACCTCCAGTTAGCTACCAAAAAGCTGTGGCTCAACTGGTGAGTGCCAACCTTGAGCCAAAAAAAGCTAAGCAAGAACTCAAGAACTCGAGTACAAGCCCCAAGTACCAGATTGGTGTTCATGATCTGAGTTTTCCAGATGACGTTTGGAGGTTGCCCTTACTACATAGAAGTCCTGTTGCATTCTAGTGTGAGAATTTGAGCAGGGCTTGGAGGCATGGTTCAGGTGGTAGAGTGCCTGCCAATGATCATAAAGCTTCAGACAGTGAGTTCAAGTCTGAATCTCCAATGGGGCGGGGGGGGGGGGGGAAGAATCTGAACCAGGATGATTTGGCCTCTTTCTGGAAATGTTTCAGAAAGACAAGAACTACCTGTTTGAATTTCCATCTCGGTTGGAACCAACAAACACAACGCTAAAAATGAAGAAAGGAGAGGGAAGACACTTAGACGCCTTCAATTTGGGGTTTAGCTTCAGAAATAGAATGAACCTGCACAAAGCAGTCATTTCAGCCCGCGCACTGAGATCTCCAGGAGAGATTTATGTTCTTGTCTCTAAAAGGGCATCATATCTCTGAGAAGGAATCTATTCTTATTTGGGCCCCTACTTAATAAACAGAAAAAAAAATGGTGTTTTTTTTTCCTCCATACTTTTCAGTAACTTTACTAAGAGAGCCACCTGCCTTGAATAAAGAAGGCATGAAAAGCCTTTTGTGTTCTGTTTTGTCTTGTATAACAAATTATTTTCCTTGCAAAGATCCAAATTACTTTCCCCCTGCACCGCTCAGGCCTGCTCTCCCACATGGTCTGGGCACACTGGGGCCCTTCCAAGGACACTCCAGATATCAATCTTGAAGCCTTTTCAAACGAGGATGGGAGGCAGAGTTGGTTGGTGCCAACATTCCTGCTGAGAATTAGCCCCGTTTCAGATGTGTGGGGGAGCCCCCACAGTGCACCAGGCTTGCCTGTTTGGGGGTGCACTGAGCGAGCTGGCTCTCTGCAGGGAGTGCAGAGTTTAAGGAACTGCTATCATTTACTTCTTTCATAACGAGCTGTGGGGAAACTATAAACAGAGCAAGCGCTCTACAGGTCCAAGCAGCTGCGGTGCTCCTTGAGAAAAAGATAGCTCTGCTCCGCGAGGCAAGTCAAGCACAAGATGGTAGACTGGCTCTCAGAGCGAGCTGGGGCCTGGGAGACTCCACCCCTAACCCCCACCTGTCCTTCATAACTTTTCCAGTTCGTCCAAGTACTAACAGATGAGCGGCGGCTTGGGGCCCTTCACTCTGCACATGAAGAAGCTGAGTCTCAGAGAAGATGAAGTGGCTTTCTAGAATTTTCAATATTCACTAGGAACTAAGCCAGAGTTTGCAGTGCATGGGGGTGTCTCCTGACCCCCGGTGGGCCAAACTAGAATCATCATCATCAAGCTGTCAGTGATGAGAGGGGAGAAATCATAGGAGCACATTAGGAAACCTCTGTGTGTGTGTGTGTGTGTGTGTGTGTGCACATTAGGAAACCTCTGTGTGTGTGTGTGTGTGTGTGTGTGTGCGCACACGCACATGAGCACAAGGGTTGGGAGTGTATGTGTGTGTGTGTGCCAGTACTTGAGCTTGAACCCAAGACTTTGTGATCTTGTTTAGCTTTTTTAGTCAAGGATGGTGCCCTACCAACTTGAGCCACGGCACTACTTCAGTTTTTTGGGTGGTTATTTGGAAATGAGTCTGCTCCAGCTGGCTTCCAACCAGCGATCCTCAGGTCTCAGCCTCCTGAGTAGCTAGGATTACAGAGATGAGCCACCAGCGCTTGGCTCTGTGAAACCTTCTTTTATAGGGAAAAAAAATAGAAGAAGAATGAATTCAGATTGGATCTCTATGCCTTTAGCTTATTGTCTGTGTTCATGCCACTGACAGGATGGAGTTTTTCCAACTGTATAGTTATCCATTTTAGCTTACAAGCCGCCTCATTTAGTTCCTTACTATAGAAATGAAGCTTATCCCTACCAGCTTGACCTTGAAGTCTCCTTTATCTCACCAAGCACTCATGCAAAGAAAGGTGAAATATGGCCAGTCTAGCTCATATCCCCAAGGAACCACACCCAAACTTTCCCAACTACCAAGAGTTTATTGTTTTCAGGCGTGTGTTGTATGTTGCATGTTTTCAGTACATTCTTCCTTACATTTTCTAATCCTGTGGAGTGTGGATTTGGAATCCTTTGCACTGGAAGTGTCTAAGCACTGCTGTAGTTTGGTTTGCATAGAAATTACTGGGTTTTGTAATGAAGCATGTGAGAACCAGTTCTCACTGAATACTTGTTTGGGGTTTGTGTATGTATGTGTATGTGTGTATGTGTGTGTGTGTGTGTGAGAGAGAGAGAGAGACAGAGACAGAGACAGAGAGAGAGAGAGACAGAGAGCAATGCTTAGGAGTTACATCTATTTCACTTTTTTTTTTTTTTGGGTCCGTTGTGGGGCCTGAACTCTGGGCCTGGGCGCTGTCCCTCAGCTCTTCAGCTCAAGTCTACCACTCTACCACTTGAGCCACAGTGCCACTTCCGGCTTTATTTTTTCTTTTCTGCTTATGTGGTGCTGGGGAATCGAACCCAGGGCCTCAGGCATGCAAGGCAAGCGCTCTACCACTGAGCCACCTTCCCAGCCCCTCTATTTCACTTTTCCCTCTCAAACACTTTCTGTTAGGGTCACTTAACCATTCTCAGGGAGGAGTCATAAACAGGAATAATATATTTTCCAAAGAGAGTTAGGCCTAGAAACTTAAGAAGGCATATGACCCTAGCCCTGGAATTAATGGAGTCTATGCCTCCCCTCATCTACTTCTATAGGTAAGGAAGGGAGGATCTGACTCTCTCCATAGTAAATATACTACAGAGCTACAATCTGGATCTGATCTTAAATTAGACACAGATTTCTTTTCTTCCCCCCCCCCCCAATGAAATGTAAAGCCTTGCTAGGTTTACACAGGCTTCCTAGCTATGATTTCTTGTTGCTTAGGGACTAAGTCCAGCATCACACCTGGTTGCATTGTGGGCCTGTGAAAATGTTGAATGAGGGAGATTGGTGAAGACTGGGGATTTCGGGAATGTTCTGTCCTGAGGCCACTGCAGGTGGAAGTGGTTCTCCCATGGCTGACACAGCCAGCTCTTGTGAGGCTAAGCCTTCACGTGACCCCCCTCCAGTCTGAAGGGAAAAGGCCTTCATCTGAGCTTTATCTTGCAGTGCTCAGCATCCATTTAGTTGTCGAAGGAAAGGATGGCAAAGCTGGACACAGGAAAAAAAAATTCTCAGGAACTCTTCTCAGATGATCATAGATTGAGTGAAACTTTTGTGTAGTTAACTGTAGCCAGGAAACGAATTACTGGACATTTCTAGTAGCCCCCCCCAAAAAAAAAGCCACCCCAAACCCAAAACCAAAACAATGAACCAATAAAATCATGTGATGCATGTGGAGGAGAAGAGCTAAGAAAAATGTACCCAGCCTCTCACAACATGTGAACCCCCGGATTTCTCCTTGGTATTGCTTGCTTCTGAGATGTAAATCTGAGGGCATAAGATAGATTTTATAGCTGACAATTTATAAACACAAATGGTTCTTCCTTTTTCTTTCCCACTTTGTTTCGAGCAGGAATAAGATTTGATGTTATGAGGCCCATACTAGACGCTCAGCAGATATACAAAGCAGGGCAGAAAGGAGGACAGAATTCAGGAATCAAGGAAAGGAAAGGGGAAGGGAGTGATCCCAGGCCTGTGTCCTAGGGTTACCTATGAGGAGTCTAATACATTTTGCCATTGGCCAACTGGGTAACCTGGTAATTTTCATGAACTGCTAACGCTTACATCTGCCTTTGTCTAAAATGAGCAACTCGCTACTTCCGAGAGGTTTTCAGACCATGCAATTGAAAACCACACCTGGCATTTTTGGAGAAACTTGAACAATTTGTTTTACCTTCATCATGTCTTTCAAGTGGAGCCAAATGCCTTTTATTTTCTGCAGGCCAGAGCCCCAAAGGGCACTATTTAGTGGTGGAAATCTTGAGTCACCTCTGCTTTGCCATTTATCTTTAGAGACATCATTCAGGATTGCTTTTCTTTTCTTCTTTCTTTCCTTCTTTTTCTTTCTTTCTTTCTTTCTTTCCTTCCTTCCTTCCTCCTTTCTTTCCTTTCTTTCCTTTCCTTTCTTTCCTTCCTTCCTTCCTTCCTTCCTTCCTTCCTTCCTTCCTTCCTTCCTTTCTTTCTTTCTTTCTTTCTTTCTTTCTTTCTTTCTTTCTTTCTTTCTTTCCTTCCTTCTTTCTTTCTTTCCTTCTTTCTTTCTTTCCTTCTTTCTTTCTTTTTTGTCAGAGACCGGAACATAAGCTAGGTATCTGATGTTTTTGATTATTGGCTGGGGGCTGTACTACCTGAGCCATGCTTCCCGCCCTATCAGTATTGACTCTAGAGAAGTCACTTTCTCTTGTACCTTCCTCCCCCTCCCCTCTTTGGTTGGTTGTGGGGCTTGAATTCTGGGCCTGGGTGCTGTCCCTCAGCTCTTCAGCTCAAGGCTAGTGTGCTCTACTACTTGAACCATAGCGCCACTTCCAGTTTATTGGAGATAGGAGTCTCATGGACTTTCCTGCCTGGGCTGGCTTTGAACTGAGATCCTCAGATCTTAGCCTCCTTAGTAGCTAGGATTACAGGCGTGAGCCACCAGCACCCAACTCTCGTGTACTTTTCACGATGAAGTGAACACAGTCCTCCCGCATGGGCACCAACTGCATCCAACTGCCTTACACCTTGTCCACCCACGTTGACCAGAGAAGGTATCGCAGGGTCCTTCACTTGGTCTTCTGCCCCTCAGTGTCCTTATTATTGCTCTGAGCTGGCTTTGGCTACTGATGGCCTCAGCTCCAAGGTGTTGTCATTTCCCTCCCCTTCCATCTCTTTCCTTTACAGGTTGGAAAGCTTATCCAAGAAGCAGCTGGAAGAAGTAACTTGAAGAGAGTGACCCTGGAACTTGGAGGGAAAAGCCCCAATATCATTTTTGCAGATGCAGATCGTAAGTCAACCACAGGGCCCATGCAAGTCTCAGCACAGTACCCTGCAGCGCCCTCTTTCTTGTATGCGCCCCTTCTTGAGAGACCATAAGGAAAAGAGCGCTTTGAAGCTAAGGGACATCAAGAAAGCCTTCTCAGGAGAAAATAGCCTAACTGAAGAGAAATAGCACTTTCCAGTTGATTTCTTTTTAAGTATTTTTTTTTATTAAGGCGTTGCCATTCAACAAAGCAGTTTATGAATGCAGTGCATTTATCAATGCATGCATAAATCAGGGTCACCCCTTTCAACCTTCCCACCAGTTGATTTCTGAACAGTTTGTTTTCTGGACACTAATGAGCCATCTTGACTGTGATGTAGGAGAGAGTTGAAGGGAAGGCTTGCCAGGAATGGACAGAGCAATGTTCTAAGCCTCTGAACACCTGCATTATAGCTTCTCTGCCCAGATTCAAGAAAGCTAAGACTTCTCTAACTGGCCTTGGCAGCTGGCAGATCACTCAGAATTCATCCTACTTCACCACGTCCATAAAGCTTTCCCCGGTTAGTCATTCCAGCTCCTTTCTGCTGCTTCCAAGATTTTCAGCTAGGATGACAGCTCACTTGGGTGGTTCCGGGTAAATAGACTTTTCCAGGAGAACTTTTCAGAGACTTAGAACAGTTACCCTGGAAGCCCTGTGGAAAGACCACTTCAGCCGTGTTGCCTGGTGCACGTCCTCTGCCTGAGAAAGCTCTCCAGTAAAGAAAATCCCCAGAGCTCCTCACGTATTCCCTGTTTTCCTCATGTCCGCCACTTGAGGATCAAGAAAAGGAAAAAGCAGGTGACATGGGTGGCATCTCCAGCTTGGAACCTGCAGGGTTCCACTTGAGCTTTGTATGGGTTGACATGCTCAAAACTCTGTTCTTTTTCCCTCTTCTTTTAATTTTATTTTTTATTTATTGGTTTCCAGTTCTGGGGCTTGAACTCAGGGCCTGGGTTCTGGTCCTTGAACTTTTTTTTTTTTTTCTTCTCAAGGCTAGCATACTACCACTTGAGCCACAACTCCACTGCTGGCATTTTGGCAGTATATTGGAGATAAGAGTCTCATGGGCTTCCCTGTCTGGGCTGGCTTCAAACCACGAGTAGCTAGGATTAGAGTCATGCACCACCAATGCCCACCTAAGATCAGAACTCTTATACTCATCCCTTTTAAGGTGGGCACTCTCCAGGGTCACGCCATTGGTTCAGTCAGTCATTCGTCATTAGCACCCATCAGATGCAGCCCAACTGTAAGACAGGAACTTGAAAATGAAGGAACTACCCGCCGATGCTGTCCATTTGATACCAACATAGAGGCAAGTTAGTTTCTTCAAGGAGATCTGCTGCTGTTACAATTGATCACCCAAATGCTAATGACACATATACCAATCAGACCCTACAGAATCAAGGGCTGTGATTGGCGGTCACAGGCAAAACACAGAATATGCACAAATTGACTTGTGTAAACATTGCACCTTACCTAAAAGAACAAAAGCAGCAATGGGCTCTGGTTTTCCTGAAAAATTAGAAAGATCTGGTGAGTGCTGAGCTTTATATTCCCATATGGCCACAGCCAAGTGTGGTGGCCCCTGCCTTGACCCTTGGTCTCCATCCTTTCACTCAACCATATTCACCCTTGATGTTTTCTCCCTATCCCTTCTACACAGGGCGGTTTGTGGTTTCTACAGAGGACATGGGCCAGTTCCTCTGGTCCCAGAATAAGAAAGGGACTCCAAGTGAGTAACACGGCAAATGATGTCAGGGTCTAGCTAGCACTCAGCTAGATTTTTGTTCTCTATCCAAAGCTCTTGGTGCTAAGGACTCAATCCGCAGGTTCTTTTCTCTGGGGCTCTGGAGATAGGAGGAAGGCCCCTCCACCACCCATGCCCCTCCACAGTCAGGACAGTGCTGAGAACTTGGTGGTCTCCTCTTGCAGTGGACTACGCCGTGGAGCAGGCTCACCAGGGTGTGTTCTTCAACCAAGGCCAGTGCTGCACCGCAGGCTCCCGCATCTTTGTGGAGGAGTCCATCTACGAGGAGTTTGTGAGGCGAAGCGTGGAGCGGGCCAAGAGGCGCATCGTGGGGAGTCCCTTTGACCCCACCACGGAGCAGGGCCCTCAGGTAGAGCATTCGCGATCATTCCTTTGCTCCCTTAACTCCAGCTGGATACAGGCACTTAGTGGGACCCAACCAGATGTTTCTCCTCTGGTAGATTGATAAGAAACAGTACAACAAGATCCTGGACCTCATCCAAAGCGGTGTGGCCGAGGGGGCCAAGCTGGAGTGCGGAGGCAAAGGCCTGGGCCGAAAGGGCTTCTTCATTGAGCCCACCGTGTTCTCCAACGTCACGGACGACATGCGCATCGCCAAGGAAGAGGTAGCCAACATGGCGGGCTCGCCACACCCACATCTTCTCTTGGGGTGGTTTCCAGGGAATTTCTAGGGGATGGTCTTAGAGTTTCAGCATTTGGTATCTTACATTCATACATTCCACAATAATATAATAATAATAACTATTATTATTAAATAAATAGCTGCAGAAATCACAGTTCTAAGACCAGAAGAAGACTGTGATTATTAGCCAACAGAAAAATTATAATAGCAAGCCCTGGTGTCAATAACACACTGGCATTAGTTCAGTTCCCCCCCACCCCCGTACCCCTCCCACCCCCAATATGGTCACTCAGCTGGTTCAGGAAGAAAAGAGGAAACCTTCAAGAGTCTTCAGGTGAGAACCGGGGACAGGTCAGCCACCAGCGATGTCGGGGAGCAGGGGGGAGGTGGGCAGGGAGTCAAACAGGTAAACTCCCACAGACCCGATTCTGGAAAAATTGGAAATAGTTTAGAGGTGTGCGCTGCTGAAGTTAAATATCAGGTAAACAATCAAGGCAGAGCAAACACGTGTTAAAATGAGGAGAGGGCAGGCAAAGGAAGGATACCAGCACCACCACCACTGTCTTTAAGTCAGACTGTTTGTTGCAGATCTTTGGTCCCGTGCAGGAAATTCTGAGGTTTAAGACCATGGATGAGGTCATCGAAAGAGCCAATAACTCGGACTTTGGACTGGTGGCAGCTGTGTTTACTAACGACATCAACAAGGCCCTGACTGTCTCTTCTGCCATGCAAGCCGGGACTGTCTGGTAAGCTCTGTTCTGGCCCTTGCAGATTCCATGCGTGGTACATAGGCCTGTATTTGTTCATTTTTCTTTATTATCATGAAATGCCCGAGGAAGACTATTTTTTTTAATTTATTTATTTTTTTGGTTCGGTTGTGGGGCCTGAACTCTGGGCCTGGGCGCTGTCCCTCAGCTCTTCAGCTCAAGGCTAGCGCTCTAGCACTTGAGCCACAGTGCCACTTTCGGCTTTTTTCTTATGTGGTGCTGAGGAATCGAACCCGGGGCCTCATGCATGCAAGGCAAGCGCTCTACCGCTGAGCCACCTTCCCAGCCCCAGACTATTTTTTTTTAAAGGTTTACTTTGCCCCACAGTTCTGGAGGCTGACAGTCCACCCAGCATAATAGAGACTCTGGTAAGAGAATCCTCCTGGCCTAATGTGGCAATACCTGTGGAAGGAGAGATTTCACACATTGCCAAGAAGGAAGCCAGAGAGGAAAACTCAGGGGCTGGGATTGTGCTCAGAACTGCTTACGCCCACAAGAGCTCATGGGTTGCATTCCTTATGAGTGCCGCTCCCCCAGCAACCAGAGGGCCTCCCACCTGCCAAACATCGCCACGCTGGGGACCATTCCTTCAGCATACAGACCTTTGAGAGAAACCCACATACAAAAATATTACAGGGCCTTGCACTTGTCAGGGACCAGGGTAAAACAGACAGACCAGGTGCTGGTGGTTCACATCTGTAATCCTAGCTACTCAGGAGGCTGAGGTCTGATGATGGTGGTTCAAAGCCAGCCTGGACAGGACAGTTAAAGTCTCATCTCTAACCAGCAGAAAAGTCCAGAAATGGATCTGTGGCTCAAGTGGTAGAGCACTAGCTTTCAAGAAAAGAAGCTCAGGCCCTGAGTTCAAGCCCCAGGACTTTTAAATAGAGAAGGGGGAAAGGTTTACACATCTTGCATGCTAGATCAGGAAGTTGAAATGAACTGTAAATTAGAATTTTTGTTTTCATTTGGAAAAATAAAACATAAAAAAAATCACGTGACAACGATGATTTCTGTGCCGGTAGAATTCATGCCATCTCACAGTTTTGTTTTCTCACTGCAGGATCAATTGTTATAACGCCTTAAATGCCCAGAGCCCCTTTGGAGGGTTCAAGATGTCTGGAAATGGGAGAGAAATGTAAGTGTGAAAGTTGCTGATGCTGGCAGAGAAATAGCAACAATGAATACCACCGCTCACAGCACAGCTTAACTCCCTTACGCCCCCATCCATTCACTAAACTTTAACATCCCCTCCACTCACTAGACTAACATGTGGTTGAGCATATCCGATCGTAGGTTAGGTGTTACCTGGATGAAAATGACTGAGACACAGCTCCCTTTGTGACAAGGGAACAGAGAAACACTAACATGCTGCGATTCCACTTTTGTATTGAGCATAACCTATGCACACAGCATGGTCTGTGAGGGGAGCCGGCAGCTCACAAAGACACTTAGAGTCTCGTTAAGTAAATGGATTCTGTCAAGAAACCACACTCAAGTGACATCCTTTGGCACTAGCTCTGTGTGCGGAGGGTCAGGAACTGGCACCCAGGAGGTGTCTGGTACACCAGAGGGCAGGGGTGACTTGTCCTGGGGCTTGAACTCAGGGCCTGGGCACTGTCTCTGGGCTTTTTATGCTTAAGGCTAGCACTACCACTTGAGCCACAGCTCCACTTCCAGCTTTTTGGTGGTTAACTAGAGATAAGAGTCTTACAGACTTTGCTGCCCAGGCTAGCTTCGAACCATCGTCCTCAGATCTCAGCCCCCCCCCCCCGCCACCCGAGTAGCTGGGACTACAGGTATGAGCCACCACACCTGGCCGGCCTCCTCTGTCTTTGAGCCTGCTGAGGGCATCTATCTCTGCCCGGGCTTCTGGGAGGAGATCACCCCAGACCAGCAGGCTGCCACATGGAACCCCCTAGGACTCGGGGTCCCACACCACAGGGTTCATGACTCCACAGACTCCTTCACAACCTCACGGCAGGGTTGGAGATGGGAGTGGGAGGGAAGCGTGGTTCAAGGTCCCCTCCAAGAACATGCACAAGCCAGGGAATGAGCTTGGGGATGGGAGGGTAGTGACCTCACTTCTGGCGGAAGCACATGGCGGTGGCCTGGGTGAGGAGGCACGTTCAGAACTGCCCTAAGGCAGGAAGACACTCCAGAGAGAGCCAGAGCCACAGCTGAGCCGACAGTAAAGACACTCAAGGCTGGGACGAAGCTAACAAGGGCGCCCTGAAACAAGAAGATGGCTTCCCCTTCCCTCTTCTCATTCCTCTGCATGGAATGACCCAGGCAGAGAACAGCAAGCTGCCCAGGCCCCTCCCGTGTCCTGGCAGCTCTGGTGCCCCGCGGTGCTCAGAGTTGCTGCTCACAAAGCCACCTGAGTTCTAGTCCTGCGTGGAGTCCACTGTCTCCCTTACGTGCCCGGTCTCAGGAGCTCTTCCCCTTGGCAGGGATCATGGCAGAGGAACTGGCCATTCCCAATTCTTTCGTACTCAGTCCCTGATATTCTTTTCTTTTTTCCCCACTGGAGACAGAGCGACAGCAGGGTGGACCTGGGAGAAGCGGGCAGTTGGGAAGGAAAAATCCATGAGACTCTTATCTCCAATTAACCACCTCCAAACTGAAAGTAGTGCTGTGGCTCAAAGTGGTAGAATACTAGCCTTGAGCAAAAGAGCTCAGGGACAGTGCCCAGGCCCTGAGTTCAAGCCCCATGACTGACCAAAAAATAAAATGAGGAGAGAATAGAAAAGAGCAGGGCTTTGCTATCTGCCAGCCCTTTTGCTCCTGGAGAGGCTGTAGGGGGCTGGTTCTCTCCTGTCCTGTCTAGAGACTGACCCCACTTCTGTTTTCTCTCTCTGTCCCAACTACCTGCAAGACCAAGTTCCTCATCCAGAGCCCCGCACAGCACCACTCCATAGAAATGGCTCTCAGCACAATGAATGACAGTCTTGGATCATAACCAAGTTTCACAGGGGATGTGGGGAAAGGAGACTCTGGAGGAGAAAGTTGACTAACCATTTCTGGTTCACTTTAGTCAGTTATACTTCCTGTACCTTTCCCCCCCCCCCCGGCTTTGGGGCCATGGACTGTGCGTCTTCAAGACAGTGGGTGTAACGTACTGCAGACCGCGTCTGCTTCCCATTTATGAAATCTAAGGAATGAAGAATTGAGGCTACCATACGGAGGGCTTCGTCTCAGCCTTTGCTCTCAGTTGAAGCGAGCAGCTGTAGTCAGGCAATCCATCAGGAGAGATCTCCCAGGTCTGCACATGCAGGAGCTGCGTTCCACGGGGAGGACAGCAGGCTCCCATCCTAATGAACCATACCTGCAGGTGGTAACATGGCCCAGGTATTTGCAGATCTGGGACCTGGCTTCCTGCGGCCATGGTGCTTGGGACAGCGCATTGGATCATCTGACTTGGCTCTCAGAGCAGCTGGGCTGTTGGCATAGAAAGACAATTCACCTCTTAACTTTAGGAATGGGTCCCTGCTTCTTAGGGGGAAGGCCAGGCTGTGCATGCACTCAGTCTTGTTGTAGGAAAGCTCCAGTAGCTGCTGCTAGTCACAGGTAATGGAATCTACCTTCTACCTAGGAGCACTAGGCCCCACTGAGGCACGGGCGTGTGGGCCTTGGTGTCTGACCGCCACACATCTGTGTTTCAGGGGCGAGTTTGGCTTGCGAGAGTACTCGGAAGTGAAGACGGTGACGGTGAAGATCCCCCAGAAGAACTCATAAGCAAGCCAAGGAGAAGGTGAAGGCGGCCCACACGGCTCCCTCTGCTTTTCCCCTCCCTCCCCCCACCCCCCCCAGTAGGGCCCAGGTTCTCAGGAACACAAGTGGAGCCCTGGCCTTTCTATTGAGATTGAAATGGTGTTCTAGAGCAGGCAGACCCTAGCACCTTGCAGCAAACCAGCTGGGCAGGGATTCTGTCATTCTGGAAGGATTCACCTTAATGACACCAGATGCTGGGGGGTAGGGAGGGGAGGGGAGAAAGTATCTGCAGGGCCACCCAGGACAGAGAAGAGAGCTACACCCCTTGACACTTTGGATAGAGAAGGAAAGGGGGCTTTGGGCTGAAGATTCCCTTCCACTCCCCCCACCCCCGCCCGCCCCAGCTCACCAGCCCTTCCTCTCGCCCTGAGCTCATTTGGGGCAGATGTTTGGGCCGGGAACAATTTTCCAAGGTTTTGCAGCCAAATTACCATTTCATGTTATCCATTGCTTCAAAGCAAAACATGCGATGGTTTTTAGTTAGAGCCAGACCAGACAAAAACTGCCAGGAGCTGGTACCCTGCAGACATCCGAAGCAGTCAGAACTTGGGCCAGTCCTGAGCTGGCCTGGTTTTCTCTTGCCCGTAAATAACACAAGGGAAAGATGGTGATGATGAATGAGAGGTCATCAGGCAGCGTTCACAGCTTTCTTGGTTATTCTAGAATAAAGCAAAGACCATAGACCTTGTTTTTAATAGATGGGTCTTTCCCAGAGCTTCTCTGCAAATCACCCCCTCTCCCCTCCAAACAATCTTTAAGTAGCTTTGAGAAACTGGGGAGCCCGGATGCCCTGCAGAAATCACCCAGCTTCCAGTGCTGGCTGACAATTCTTAAGTGGATTATGTCTGGCGTTATTTCTATGCCTTCCTCTGCTCCTGCCTTTTCCAACCCTGTGGTGCAATTCCCGCCCAGCATGCCCAAATCCTGTACCCTCAGTCCTTCCCAGTGACCTTGGACAACCTGGCCAAGCCTGTGGATTTCCTTCTGCGCTTGCAGGGTTGCAGTGTGCCATGACTGGCATGTGTCAGCAGAGCCGTGTCCCAAACAGGGCCTCATCCATGCACGTGCTTGCTTCAACAAGTGAGCTTCAGCCGGCGGGAGAGGCGCAAACCAAGATGTCTCCCTTCCTTCCCAGCCTCACGCCTCCGCTTTCCAGTAACCCCCCCTAGTTTGGTGTGGGCAGCATTAGCATCCTCCCCTTCTTCTCTCTCCACCTGCCACTTCCATGCCAGTCCCCTAATCTAGATGAAGATCAGCTATTTAAAAAAAGACCTAAGGTAACCTCCAGTATGTGGAATCGGGGTGACATAGATATATACATATGTATAGCCTTCTGTATTTAATGGTTTCCTGCTTTCTAACCATACTGGTTTGCTATTTATAACCCGTGTTTATCCACTGTGTTTTAAAGGACTCCGCCCCCTCCCCCTCACCCCCTCCCCCGTTCTCTACACACAGTGCACCGGGCAGCCCATGGCTTTGGATGTACGCGCTCCTTCTTTAGCGCGGCCCAGTGCACCCACCACTAACCAACTAGTTACTTTGAACTACAGTATACAATGTGAAAAATGAAGATTTATTTCTTTTAATTTACTTCAAAAGAAACCTCTGTGCTAGCAATAAAGCATTTATATTGTGTACCCCTTTGGAGTACTGGACTGTGTTTGTTAAGTCTATGTCACACAGAGTACTGCTGGGTGCTGTGCTGGGTTGCTGGAGGGTGTGTGTGTGTGTGTGTGTGTGTGTGCACGCACGCGCTTGTGCACGCTGGTCCTGGGGCTTGAACTCAAGGCTTAGATGCTTTCCCTGAACTTGTATTTCTCAAGGCTAGTGCTCTACCTCTTGAGCCAGGGCTCTACTTCCAGCTCAGTGATGGTTAATTGGAGATACAGATTCTCATGCGCTTTCTTGCACAGGCTGGCTTCCAACCTTCAGTCCTCAGATCTCAGCTTCCCATGTAGTTAGGATTACAGGCGTGAGCCACCATGCCCAGGTTAGGGGGTATGTTCTAATAGAAGGCATCCAGGTCAATGCAAACCCTGTTTGTTTGCATCATTTAAAAATCCATATGCATCCAGTTTTGTGTGGCAAATTTAACTCCATGGATGCACTTCGATTGACAAATGTCATTCATAGTGCCTGATGGAGACTGAAATGTAGAGTTGGCCAGGCCTGTTGTCAATGTTTGAGAGGCTCCTGGCTTTGCACAGTAGCTCTGTTCCTATTGAATTTAAATGAAGCCAAAGGCTGACAACCTGGGGGCTGGGAAGGTGGCTCAGTGGTAGAGCGCTTGCCTTGCATGCCCGAGGCCCTGGGTTCGATTCCTCAGCACCACATAAGCAAAAAGAAAAAAGCCGGAAGTAGCACTGTGGCTCAAGTGGTAGAGCGCTAGCCTTGAGC